TTTAAAAATGCAGCTTGTAGGTTGGGTAGTCACATGGTGTTTCCCTGTGAATACTGGTATAGCAGATCTAGTTTTACTAATTGTATGCTTTTGCATAAGGATGTGAGATAGTAGTATGTAAACGTTGCGGAGTTTGCTTTAGCTTTGGTGGGCAAAATCAAGTGTGCTTTATTTGTATAAGCTGCATGGAAATCAAAGGTGGATGTGACACTACCGAACACATTTACAAGGAGTGAATCTAATGCAGGGGACGAAGGTCTGCAGCCTTGTTGCTTAGAACTCTGGGTAGGCTTTTCTTCCTATTTCAGTAAAGGTTTGAAGATATAATATACTAAATAACATAAATGCAGAGAATGCAATGAATTTTCTCCTAAAGATTAAAAGTTCATCGATACATTTTTAATGCATACTGTTCTTCTGGGTCATCTTGTCTTTTTTGGTGTACTCAGACAGCAGTTGGTGAGCTCTTTCAGGATCAAGAGTGAGAGCTAGCTATGAATGATGTGTTGCAGGTGGTACTGTTTTGCTCTTCCCTTGGAGAAATGGAGATGATGGCCAGTTTAGGGAAACTGAGTTGCTGCCTCCTCTTTTGAAACTTGTCATAGTCTGACATCTCTGATTCAACTAGTCCTATGAGTAAAGAGTAGTAAATTACTTCCCTGACAACTGTTCATAATCATATACTCCCCAAAATTCAGAGGCAAGAGTGGGTTGGATGCGATTGTTCAAAGCAGGGGCTAGACTTTTTCTTTCTCTTCTCTGTGAAGGTATTTTTCTTAATATCTGAGTTCTGTGTTACCTGTCACTTTTGTGGTACAAATAAGTGCTGCTGTCTCCAGGTTTAGCTGGCACTTCTTGCAGCCTTTTCTCTAGGATGCTGTGCTGCTGGTCTTGTTGCATTTTTCCTGTATTTGACTGTCATCCAGATTCTCTTTGTTCATGTGTTATCTTTCTTGTTTGTTTTTCTTCACTCAGACTATCTACTTTACTTTGTGTTTTTGCTGTGGTTTAGCTGCTTATCTTGCAATATAATTCCCATCTTTCCCCAGCCCCTTGTGTTTTCTGATGACAACTAGTTTGTTTCATTTGCTTTTTATAGGCTACATCTGAGCTATATGTCATCACATGAAGGATACTCCAATAGTTGATCTTTCGTTTTCAAGCAGTGAGACATCACATGTCAGGAGGGCTCTCTGTCTTTCCAAATGTTCTTGAACACCTCTTTCATAGATGAAACAGCAAATAAAAGGTTACACCCTTGTCTTTTTCTGTAGGGGAAATTGTTTGAATACCTTAGTTTATCGTTGATTCTGTATGACCTGCTTCAATGCAGATAAAATATTTTTCTTGATTGTTGTGCTTCCTTATATGCAGACCTGTTCTTTGTGCCTCTGCTTCATTCAGAGTAATTTCAAGCCATTTGCCTGCTTTGAGGGCTCAAGGAACACTCATCTCTTCCATATTGCTCTTGTTAACTGTGTAGGATCATATCCTGTCTCCTTTTTTGAGAAAAAGCAAAGCATTTAACTTCTTTTTTTGTGTGTTCCATTTTGCACAAGAGCCCATGGCAGGCATTCTGTGGTCAGATAGTGCAGGTTTGAGTGATATTGTCACCTTGTTTTGTTCTTGTTATTGGTTTTGGAGTGTTCGCTTGGTATGGCTGTAATATTTTTATGCCTCAATTAAAAGGTCTTTCCAGGTGAGATTATGTATGTGAGAATACCCTTATAATCCATCCTCACTTCACCTTTCCTAGTTAAATTTTGCTCTGCTGTAGAAAATTCTTCAGGAGTGTTGTTCCTTTTGTTGACTGAAATCCAACATGGTAGTGAGTTGATTGATTACTAGTGTGATAGAGATTATTTAAATAGTGAATATGAAGTTAAACATATTGTAAGTCTGCTATTACTATTTACATGCTATGAGGAAAAAGTATAGTGAATGAGATGTTCCACGTTCAGGGGGGCGGGGCTTATAGTTTACCTGTGACCTGCCAACTTTCCTGATTAGAAACATTACATTTGTGAATCCCTGTGCACTTCGTTTTGACTTCCCTAGGTTATTTCATTTTAGTATTTAATGAACTATTATGCATGGATGAAGGGCAACTAAGGAAATGGGTTCTAGAATAAAACAAAATGTAAAACTGTCTAGAAGATTGAGAGATTGGGAAGAAGGTGAATTGTCAAAGATGGTTTATTAAACAGCTTAAAGAAGAAAGTTGAGGAACTAAATCTCAGCATTATTTTTTTTGCCTTGTTACCCAAGGGTCCTGTAAACTTGAGCCTTCATGTCTTGATATGTGTGAGTAGACGAGTACAAAACATCCTCATGCCTCAGGGAGAACGCAGTTAAAATATTTCTGTCAATGCTGTCCTGATCTTTCCCTTGGTTCCATGACTCTGTTGAAGGGCAGCAGCTTCCCACCCTGCCTGGGTGCCAGCTCTCCCCCTGCCGTGCTTTCTGTTCCATCTTGCAACATCTCTTATGAACTGTGGCCAGTCAGCACGTTAAGGCTTTGGAGGAGGCACAATAGTTGTACTGAGACACATATTTGCAAACTTGGGTATGCTGCTGTTTCCTTGACTTGTAATATATTTTTGTCTGGAGTGTTGTGATATATTTTCTGGTGTTTATGGCGTTTTTCCAGGGACTGTACAGTTATTTTTCCTTTGTTCATCTTCTCTTTGCTATGAAATGTCCCAAGGTAGACACTCTTGACCTTTTAGCAACTGGGCTGATGATTTTTATGGCTCTTTTAAAGTGTTGCTAATAAATTCATAAATACAGCAATTACAAGTATTTGCTTTATAACAAATGTATTCAAAGCAGTTGATTTAGTGTTTCAAGATAGTGGCCCTTGTACTGAAACTGCATATGACAGTTTCAGTGCAGATTTTCCCTCCTGTTGGAGGGAAGAGATGCCGCACCATATATAATGCCTCTTATCAGCCACCCTTTTCAAGGCCATATTTGGATCTGGTTACTTCGGCTTAATTCTGGAGCATAAGGATTGCTGTGCTCTGGTAATCATAACACGGTTAGCCAAAACTTAAGCTACAGTGTTGTTATTTTACTAGATGCACTTTTTATAGTATTGATAATCATTTTGACTTCATGGTTTGGTTTTATTTATTAATTCCTATTCATTTTAAGGATGTCACCTGTGTAGTGAGAATTACTGTGTGGTATAGTTTAATACAAAATATGGGTATTGTATTAAATTTAAATAAACAAACCCTGCTGTATGTACTCACAAAAGTGCATGCATTCTGATTAAGTGTTTTGTCCTACTTGAACTATTTTCATGCTGTTCATTCCCCCTGCTTTCTGTCCTTTAGATCTGCACTTCCGTATGGTGTATAAAGTCTAGGCCCTTTGTATAGCCTTGATGATTCTTGTGTTATAATTTAAGCAAGTTCTAAATGAATACAATTCTTGAAACAATAAAAATGAAAAATACTTTTGAAGATATAAAGTCTCTCCATTTTGTTGTGGAGTGATATTTGAAATGATTGGTGAAAATTCTGCAGGAGCTTTGGAAGTGGAAGTGTCGTAATTATCCAACTAGTGCTCTGGAGGGTTTAGCATTCATTATTACAAGATGAAAGTTGTGGTAGGTTAGAAATAGTCATTTGTAACCATATTTTTTTTTTTTCTTGTTGTAGCTCCCACCCACTCATTCACCCATGCACTTCAACCTCAGAATGATTTCCTATCCTGAGTTCATGGGAATTACTAACAAGGGTAGCTGTTGTCATAGCCATTGTAAAAGCTTTAAAAAAAAAAAAAAAAAAAAAAGGCAGGGTGGGAGGAAGGTTGGAGAGGGCGAAGGAACAAGGAACAGTTGTATCAATTTCTTGTTCTTCTGATCAAAAGCTTAAAGCAAATACTGAAAGCACTTAAATTAAGAATGCTGCAGTTTTGCATGATTTCTAACTTCTGTCATCTTTCAAAATGTGTTTTTTGACATATGACTTTCTGGTAGTTCAGCTTTAGATTTGTTTTAGTTTTTTATGTTTAAACTTTCCCAACATTAAAGTTTGTTGCACTTCGCTTTTTTGGTATTCAGAGTAATTTCAGTTACCTGGAATGAGACAGGAAAATTCTGAATGTAATTAGTGGAAGGCCCAACATCCATCAAAACCTTCCTTGAAAACTAATTTAAATCCATGAAATTCAGGTTTCATGACAATGATACTTTGAAGAATAAAATAAAAATAATCCATAAGCATGATAGGTAACTTTGCCTAAAAATTAGGAACTTTTTCTTGAAGATATAAGAATTGGATCTGTTTGTGGCTGTGTATGAAGTACATATTCAAGTTACGTAGATCTGAATTGGGGCAGAATGTCAATATATTGCAGGATTTAAATCACCTCATTGTTACATTGAGGGATTGTAGGAATTTATTTAGACTTGGGTTGAACCTGCTTCTGGTGGTGGTCATCTTGTTTTTACTTTTTTCAAATTCTGGTATCTGAAAGAAGTAGTGGTGGGAAGCAGGTGGGGACTGAGGATTTTAGACATAGTTATGTGGCATGTAGTTGGCTCTTATTGGGGTTGCTCCGAGTGTGCAGCTGTCTGTGATGCTGTTGTGTGTTTCTTTGGCTGTACCATATTCTTGCTTAGCTTCTTGGATCAACTTTTTTAATCAAGGCAAATGTCATGCTTGTGTTGCTGCAAGGGTAATTTTCTTAATTTTTTTTTTTTTAAATGCAGTGATAACATCCTTAAACTTGAACTGTTAATATGGAGGAATATGTAACCTATCACATGCGTCCGTATTTTTTATGAACTGATGGTAGCATATAAAAACTTAAGTTCCTAGGGTCTTATTTTCAGACACAGCTGTGTATTTGATGCTTACTTTGACTTGTGTTTTGTTCCTATTTCTGGGCATTTGTACATATTCTGGCAATTTTTATGGAAACTATTTGAGAAAATGTTCCTTAATCTTTTTATGCTGCTGCAATACTGACTGTGAATTCTTCTCCAGGTGCCCAGATTATTGATTTGATGATGCTTGTAATAGATGTGACAAAAGGGATGCAGACGCAGTCAGCAGAGTGCTTGGTAATTGGACAAATTGCCTGCCAGAAGATGGTGGTAGTTCTGAACAAAATAGATCTCCTTCCAGAGGGGAAGAGACAAAGTGCCATTGAGAAGATGACTAAGAAAATGCAGAAGACCTTGGAAAATACTAAGTAAGTTCACAGTAATGTTAACAGCTAGCTTGTAACAAAATATTTAACAAAAATACTTCATGCACATTTCCCTTCTAACATGCTTCTAAACATACTGAGACATCTAGCAAAGATGATGAGAAGAGAGTGGGAAGATTACCAGAAACTCAAATGCAGTCCTGAATTTGGTATAGAGAAATGTTTTCCTATAATGGAGCTTTTCAGCTTAAAAGGCTGCTTGGAGTTCAGATTGGTTAAAATGAAGCCAGAATATCCAGGTGAAGAACTGTTAGGTGTTTGTTTGGTATTTTGTCTTTTTTGGGGGGGAGGGGAGGGACAGCGAGTGGGAGCTGGATGGGTGGTTTAGTTTACGGGCTTGCAACTTGTGTTGTGATCTGCGAGTCTTTTTCACTCCAGAGAAAAGAAAGTGTTGTGGCTTTTCCTTAACTGAGGGTGAAAAATGTGATTGCCCCAACTAGGGAGAGAAGAATGATGGAAGTTTAGATACTGTAATATGGCTCTGGCTGGGATGATGTTTGTCAGCCCTGTTTAGGTAAATTAATTGAAGTACATAATGAGTGAAGTGCAGTGAGATTCATGAGTGGAAGTGCAGCTGTTATGAAGTGGGAAGATATCACAGACACAATATTTATGTAGTGGTTACACAAACTGGGTCATAAGGGGACATTGACTCCCACATTTGTAGCTGTTAGGTTACTTTTTGATTTGAAGAATCAAAGGAATAGGATTCAGTGTACAGAGGAGAGAATTCCACCAGGACCAAAAAAGTAGAGCTTGGTTGGATATGGCAGTTCCTGCTTAGCTTATTTGTGATTGTAGCTCAATGTCCCTTTTCAAGTATGTAACTGCCACAACAGTGACTAGGAAGATCTTTGTGTCTTTCCAGCTCCTGTGCTGTTCTTGGGTCCATTCATTGTGCTGGGAATGGTACAGAGGTCACCAAGAAAGTGGAATTCTCTCTTGTGAACTTAGAATCCTACAACTTCCAGTTCTCTCTGGCAGCTGTTGATTTAAAGGCAAATGGCAAATAAATACAGGGTGGCTTGGTTTTCTCTGTAGGTTGCTGCCCCCTCATTTTAGGGAGATGGAGAAAGGAGATGCCTGCAATATATCAAAGCATTTTGGATCAACAATTTTTTATAGCTGTGAGTTTGTTGATCAGATTCACAGGTAATCCCAATGGCAATAGCACTGAGGTAATAAAGTTGGGAAAAATTTAGCGATAACTGTCTAATGGCTTTCTTATTATTTTATTTGGTTGTTTGAAAAGTTGATGTATAGAATGTGAATTAAGCAGTATTAAAATTAATAGTTATTTTTTAATGTTTCTCATCTGTGCCAAGAAGTTAATGATTTTTAAGAGAATTTATCTTAATATACTGCTCAGTTTTATTTTGACCTTCTTTTAGAATTTGTTTTTACTTCTTGAATGGCAGTAATTGCTGCTGCAGGTGGTACTTCATTCTTGGTTTAGTCCAAGATAGTGTTGTGAATGATTGGAAAAAAAGACCTTTCTAGTTGCATATTCATAAAAGGAAGACAAATTTCTGTAAGGAAACTGTTGTTCAGAAATACTTCTATGTACACTGTTTGAATGAAATCTTCTCTTTATATCCTGGTGTACAAATGGGTCTTTACATCATGTCTTGAAAATTAGCAGACTTGGTCAAAACTGAATGGGAAGCAAGTTTTTGAAACAGTTGACAAGCTAACTGTGAGGTCCTTACCTCTTGCCCACTTCTAAAACAAGGACGTGTATCAGCTGATCACAACAGCTGTGATTCCACCTGGAGAGAAATGGTCCTGTCACAATGTTTTAATTACGCATTTGAGCGCTGGATCCTAGGAATGCTCTTTTATTGGATGTGTGTGTATTGTTCTCGTAACAAAAATTTAGCTTTTGCATGTGCAGCCTGTGCTTTATGGTGCTTTGAAAGCACTGCTGACCTGGGCTTGATTGTAAAGTGCCTGTCCTGTTGCGTATCAGGCATGTGTTGTTTCTCAACAGCATCTTTCCTACTTTGAATTTCCAAATGCATGTTTTTTAACTGTTTTTTGTATTTCTAAACTACTCTTATTAGCAGGGCGTGTGCTGAGACCATTTGACAGCTGCCTCTGACTCCAAACATTTGGCAATGAATTTTTTTCTAGGAATAGTTTACTTGATTATTATTTCTCTAAACACAGAGGCATGCATGCACAATTCCATACCAGTAAGCAATTTTGAAGTCTGTTGCAGCTATAGAGTAGGTATTGCTATTGATACTGGGGAAATTATTGTAACGTTGTCAGGAGATTCCATAGAAGGTGGGAAAAAAAAACATAGGCAGAGGAAAGTAACTGTCGTATATTTGAATAGTTTTACACTTGTAAACTTAACCTAATCAAAACTTGCTTGTTCCATGGATTGATACCAAAAATAAAAGCAAACTGTCCCTATGAATGGAATTTCTATTTTTTTCATAATGTTTTGCACATGCCAGCTTTTATCTTTGTCCAGCAGGGTCTAAACTCTGCTGACAATAAATTGGTGTGATGGCGTAAGAGTTTTAGTAGGGCTGAATCGTGTCTGGAAGTGCCTCCAAAGGCAGTATATGATTACTCCAGTTTGTGCTGGTATATGGGAAAAGGAGTAAAGAACCTGGCTCAGCACAAATTTCTATTTATTGCAATACAGTGTCCTGAAGTATTTGTATGAAAATAAATTTCCAAAAGTTTTATGATTAATCACATGAATTTTCAGTGCACATTTTTATTACCCTTTGTCCCTAGATGCCTCAGACTTGCGGCATATACACAAAGAAAATACCTTATATGCTTGATTACTGATGGTCACTAAATGAGCTTCCTCTATAGAACTTAGACTTTTTTCTGTATCAAGGCACTGTCTTTTTCCTCCAGTTCACTCTCTTTTTGAGATCAAAATCTATGGGGGGTGGGTGTCAAAAGGATGACTACAACATTGACTTTTGGTCAGAATCTGTTACATAAGAATCAAGTATCTATGAGAACCAATCAGTTTTTGTGTTATTGCTGATTACTATTCCATTGCTTTAATATATATATATATTTTACATAGTTAATCTGACTTCTTCAAATATGCAGTAATAATTTGATTTATAGTCTTAACTTCCCTTTCCAAAATGTAGGCAAAACAAGCTATCAGATTATTCAAACACTAGGTGGCATTTTAGGGAGCAAAAGTTAAGTCTGCTAACTGACTTTGTAAAAAAAGCTGCTGAATATTAAGGACTTGAAGAGTAAAATTGATTGTAAGAGAAAAGCTAAACTGAAGTCAACTGTGGAAGTGCTGCTCTACTCTGAACCTTTGCATGTTTGAGATTTGTGAGTTTCATGAACTTTGATTGCAGTAGCTTTAGGTCTTTCTGTGGTCTGCATGTCTTGCAGTCTGCCTGCAGACTCAGGTAGACATCATGTGCCATATTGCATTTGGCTCCCATTTTGAAGGTTATGACTCCACAGCTAGGATTATAATTATTTTCATGAAAGTTGAAAACAGTGCTAGCCTTCAGGTAAAATGGCTTGAATGCAAAGCCACTGCAGTAAGACCGGGTAACAGACCTTTTCTTCTGAAATAAACTGAAGTCTTGCTTTTGACTGCCACAGAACTGAATCAGTAGCTAATACTAAACAGGACTGAAAATTTTGTAGTGAAGTCCAGTAGTGCAGATGCTAGTAACTCAAGAAAAAAATGTCAGTTATTCACTATGGGGGAAGAGCAGATAAATAGGAATTTCAGGGAGTTTCATTGCCTTCATTGTCAGATGAACCTGGAACTACTTTACATTGATACATGTATGAGATCTGCGATCTAATGGTGGGAGTCTTTCTCTCTTTCAGGTTCTGTGGGTGTCCTATTGTTGCTGTTGCAGCAAAGCCTGGTGGACCAGAAGCCCCAGAGTCTGAGAATCCACTAGGTGTTTCTGAATTAATTGAGGTACCTGCTGAAGAATATAATAATAAAATGTGCTTGAACTTTGCCTTAAGTCTTTGGAGTATATTGTATTAGTATCTAGAGCTGAGGAACTTCCTGCATTTAATGTCAGTTTTAAGGAACCTGATTCTTTAGGGATTCCTTCCAGTGAATGGAGAAGTTGAGGTTGCATGCCCCAAGAGTGGATGTCATTTTTCAACTGCTAGGCTTTAATGCCTTTGAATAGCTGTGTCTTAAGAAACAGCTATCACATGTGTGTTGAAATTGGTTTTAAAGTTGTAAAGAATTACTAAGCATAATGAACAAAAATAGCTTTAAAATTCTGCCAAATCCTTGGTAGGTGTAGGTGTTGTTTTATAATTGTACCACTGTTAAGAAAACAGTAAAGTTGTGAAGTCAGGCACTCAAAAGATACATGTTGGGAATTGTCGCCTTCCTTTGTGTGTGTATTATGATCCAGTGTTTAAGTGCATGATTCTTTATTCTAAATGACCCTTACCTCATTCCTTGCACGGGATGGACAGGGGTCAACCAGTGAGCAGGTAGTCTGTATTTTGTTTTAATTCTCATTATTCTCTGTGTGGCCTTGTGACTTCATTCAAATACTGCTCTGCATTCAGAATGATTAATTTCCTCCTGGACTTTTCTTTGGCACACATCACTGTGGTCTTGAGCACTTGGCAAACAGTTAATTTACTTCCAGAAGACATATAGGAAGTGTAGAAGTGATTCAATTCATATTTAGGTTGGGAAGCTGAGGCACAAAGGAGTTTAGTCCACTAAGTTTGCTAATTTTGGTTGCCAAATTTAAGGAAGCTAGGAGCTCTTTTGGGACATGCTTGTGTTCAGATCATTTTGATTGCAATTGTGAGCGCTTAGCGCTTCTGTTAAGCTTTGGGCTTTCTGTTTGGACAGTCCGAGGTGTATGGTCAGGGATTACCTGTGGAAAGTTTCATTTTTAAGAGAATGGCAATATGTGGGAGTTCTGGCATAAGCAAGTGTAGAATCCATTCTCTAGAGGAGCACCACCTACCTTCATGATGAAACTATCTTTCTCTGTGATACTCTGCCTTGCTTATTGCATGCCTTGCACATCTGCAAAAGATGAAAAGCATGGCCTGGCTTTACCCTGTGCCCTGAATGAGGTACGGCCTGGAAAAAACTATATGATTGTATAACTAACATTGTATCAGACCCATATGAACAAGACAGACTTCAAGCAAACTGATGCTTCGCAGGTATCCTTAGTTCCAGCAATGTGGATTGTTTTTTGGTGGTTTTTTTGGGGGGGGAGGGAGGCCAGGGCAGAGAATAAATTCTCACGTTTTCAAAAAACTAAGTTATATGAGAAGTTATATGGCATGAAGCTTATACTGTGAAGGGCAAGACACTTAAAATAGCTGTTTGAGAGCAGTTTGTAGCTTGTAGTAGGCTTGTCACCCTTTCTGTGAAAAAGTGTTAGGCAAAAAGTAGCATCTTTGCCCTGGAGGGGTGCCACTGTTATTTGCAGACTGCAGAAAGTAGTCCTAAAACAAAAGCATCATTCTCTGCAGACTTGTCAAGGTCTGATTTGGATGCTTTGGATGCTGCCAGGTTTAAAATACTTGTAAATTGCTGATGTTAGGGTGCAGCACCAGTCATCACAAATCTGGGGATGTCTGGCCCAGGGCAGCCTGGCTTGTAGAAAGGCAGAATGTTCTACATAGCTGCTGAGCACTGAATATCATACTGCCTCCCAGGCATGTGTGACCTGAGATGGGCATGGCAGGGTGTGTGGTATGGCCTTAGAATAGAGTTAGCAAGAACCAGGCTGCCCACAGCAGTGTCTAGAGAGGTGGAGATAGGAAAGTCCTTAGTTCTGCCTTCATCTGGTTCCAGGTAGATTTACTGGGATGTTCCCCAGGTTTATAACCTTTGAGGGAAATACCCATGTTGCAGCTGTTTCTGTCAACTTTCAGACCTAATATTGGAAGAGCTGGCAAATGCTGTGTGAGCCCTGCCATTGAGCTTCAAGGTATTATCCTTTCTGTCCTTGATAAGAGACTCTCTCCATTGTTCTGCCATTACAACTTGGGCTTAACCTGCAGTTTCTGACCTTAAAAGCATACATTAAAGGCAGTGTTAAGTTTATATGCTGATGTTATAACAGAGGCAGAGATCAAAAATTATTTGAGACAGCAGTGAACCAGTTCCTCTGAAGCACTGTTGGGCATATGACTGCATTTCTATAATTAAGGTCTTCTCTCTATGATGATATATTTTAAGAAACATGGTATTTGTCAGCAAAACAGAAATCCTAAACTTGGAGAATTTCTCTAGAAAATAGTACTTAATGTAGCTATTTTTCTTAGTGGTTTGATCCTTCAAGAAGTGTTAACAGAAATCTGAAGGGGAAGTTGACTTTGAAAACTTAACCCAGTATAATAGTTCTTCTGTGAGGGAGGCAGGGATGGGCTTTATGGGGCACTAATATCTGTATATAAGTTCATTTTCACAAAATCCAAAAAAGCTGAAGTAGCAAAATGCACTGTAAAATTGTACTTTTGAGAGGGGGGAAAAAGGGGGGGGGGCGCTGTACAGGATTTTTTTTCTCCCCCTCTTTGCTTTGCTGCAGTGTTTATATTGAGTTTGGCAGCAATTTTATCACCAGTGCAGTTTTGCAAACCAAGCTAAATGTGCAGCACCAAATCTTTCTAAGGCAGAAAATTGAACTGTTCCTGCTGCTAAGTGTGCATTGCCTCTATGGCGCACACAGTTAATTTGGCATTGGTGTGTTCTAAGCTCATTGGGAGATGCCTGAAATCAGTAAAACTGCAAGCTTGTTCAATCAATCATTCGCTTGCCTTCCTTTTGCTGTATGGCTGTCATGACTTTTCACCCAGGCATGGTGCTGCTTTTATCTTTGGTTTTTTGGTTTTGTTTTTTTTTTCCTCTTCCCCCCCAGGTCCTGAAGTCTCAGGCTTACCTGCCATCAAGAGACCCCTCGGGACACTTCCTCATGGCAGTCGACCACTGTTTCTCGATCAAGGGTCAAGGCACAGTGATGACAGGGACTATTCTTTCTGGGTCTGTTAGCCTTGGTGACAATGTGGAGATTCCTGCCCTGAAGGTGAGTCTCTCATTTTTACTCCCCTCAGTTTTCCTGATGGAAAGAGACACTCAACAAAGAAGAGAGTGTTCTCTTCCAGTCTGAAATTATTCAATTATTTTCAGTGTCTGTTGTTGGGTTTTTTTTCGTACTCTACTATAAGCCAGCTTGTAATAGGAAGAGACATAGAGATTTTTAAATAAGGCAGCCAGTAAAGTTTCCTGCTCAATTTCAGTTGAATGAAGGGGAGAGAAGACTGACCTAGATTAGCATGTTAAGACTTAAAAATTCAGAAAAGCAAGGTGGGCACGTTTATGAGATAGGATGTGCCCAAGGACTGAACAAGGTGTGAGTGAGATTACTTTCATTTGAGACATGCTGCAGTGAGAAGGCTTGTAAAAGAATCTGGGTAGGTAGGCTTCCCGAGATGTTTTGAAGTTGAAGGAAATCACAAGAAGAGGGTAGTGAAATGCTTGATGTACATTCTTTTTGTTTGCTGGGGCTTTAATTGATGTCAGCATGTTCTGGGAGAACTGCTGGGATGCAGTAGGTGGCTGGCTGTGGTTGGGCTTTTTAGAGAGCCTGTAGAAAGTCAAGAGGCCTTTCAATGGCCTTTAAACTGTCTAACTGTTGTTACTCTTTTATTTCCTTAAAATATATTCATCCTTAAAAAGAAAACAAGGTGACTTTATGCTTGGAACAGGTGAAGCCTATTTCACCAGATTTGGACTGCTCTGACTTTCCCTTTTTATTAATTGCCCAAAATGAGTCAAGACTTGTGGAGTGTTTTGCAGCTGCCACTTAAAGTGGACCCAGCTGGGTACATTCTGAAAGTAGGCAGCTTTTGGCTGAACAAGCCTTGATGGGACCTTTTTGGTGCTGTCAGTATTGTCCTCAAGCTGTATTACTATCAGGATCTTATTCTTTCATTGAGCAAACATGCTGCTTCTCATTTTTTCCTGTACTTTGTTGGCAAATGAAAGACTTAAGTGATGCATTCTGACTTCACCTGAAATATTTTGCTGATAGCTGACAATTAATTTTTGGTCAGCCTTTTCTGTGATACCTGTGGCCATCTAGTTTATATCATGTTGTCCTTTGCGTAAGAGTGATTTGCATGATATGCACCCTGTCATGTCTGCTTTCCTAGTAGAGTTCCTCACTGCCCATACTCTCATTTGCAGCATGCAGCTCATTCTGGGAGTCATGCTTGTAATTCCTGCAAGGAAATATGCTTTGCTGGGATTGTAGCTCTGGTTTCAACCTCTCCTGCTTTCCCCTTGCCAGTGTTCCCTCCCTTTTCTGTCCTGTCCTGCTTGCTGTCCTGGGCCTCCCTGCACAAGGGGTCCAAGGAGGGACAAGTAGTTAGGAGTCCAAGGCTGATGAGTGCTGAGTGATGGCTCCTGCCCAACAGGGGCCTTGCATAGCTAGTTAGCTACTTTCCTTTTGGCATAGCACTGGCCAAACTTCCTGTCGCTTTGCGCTCTGGGAGATGGGGGTGAGACAGAGCAGAGTAATTATTTCTTGCAAAGAAAGAATGCATAACCAGATTATATCTGGAAATGACTCTTCAGCTCTTCATGTATAGTCCAAGAATGTTTTGGACAAATATATTTAGGAATTAGTCTGCTCTTGGAGAATCTGTATGAAGGGGAAAATGATAAAAATAGTGAATAACTTGCATATTGCAAATGGCTGTTTGAAAGGACAATAGGAAAGGCTTTAAGCGGGGCTTTAAAAGATGCTTTCTTCGCGAGTGACTGGGGGAGCAGTGAAGTGAAATGCAAGTTAGCAGATAAACAGGTCATTGACAAAGACAAGGCAGATCACTTGGCTTCTATGGCATTAACAACTTCCCTCAAAGTTTTAGTGATTTTCAGTTGCTGTTAGTGAATTAATCCTTCCACTGCCTTGTGTGAAATAGAAGATGTGTCCATACCTCTGAGTGGTAATAGTGGTGGGCGGAGTTTTGCATTTTGTTTTTTTTGCCACTAGCATCTTGTGACTATTCATGTTTGTATTGTGCAGGTATGGAAACCAAGACGCAGTAAAAGGAAGCAATTTTTGTAAGTTATGAGTTGTGTTGTACTTACCCCTGCTAGCATCATGCAGAGTTGGGTTAGGATACCTACAAAAGGTCAAACCTTTCTCAGGCCTACAAGGTAATGGAGGAAGCACATTTCACAACACATTGTGGTTTATGACTCTCTCTGACCTTTTTTTGCCCTGACCCTGTGGTAACTGAGATTGACAGCTGGTGCCCACTGGGCATTTAGGGACATTACAAACCAGCTGCTTTTTAAATTTGAAGAACCCTCTCACCAAATGAAGTGGCATCACCTTCCAGTTCTGCTAATGGACTTCGACATCTTTGACCGCTTGAACCTGCACAAAGGAGGGACACAGCAATTAAAAATAAACAGTGACATTCTCAAACGCCCGTGCTTGCTGTGATTGAGGCTGAGAGCACCAGCAGTGCATGGATTCCTTTATGCTGTTGCCTATGTAAATTGCCATCTGGGGTTGATTATCCATATAGCAAAAAGAAAAATTATATATACGTGTTTGGCAAAAAGCTTTGACACAGCAAACAGTTCACTGTCCAATAGAGTTAGTACTATTTGCTCACTAGCACTTGAAATCCACCTTGAAGAGCATGAACCTAGGTTTTCTGCAGCAAAAACATAGTGTTGGCAGAATTGTGAATGTCCTTTAAGATTGTTTCAGTGGTCTTTCCATCTCTACAGTCTTCCAGTTTATAAACTGTAACAACTCGTGACGTTTTTACTTCTGCTTTATAAAAGTTCCTGGAGTTTGAATAGTAAGGATTTTTTTATATAGATTCATTTTATTTTACTGATAGGTTTGGCGATAACAACTTTGAAATATTTATCTAAGTATATTTTGTCTAGTGAATTTAGTTTAAGTGAGCATGGATGTCAAATTCTAGTGCTGCTGTGTCTTTTTATAGCATGCTTTAATTGAAAAAGGAAAGTGTTTTTTTCAGTAGGGGAGAAGTCTCTTTGCCTTCCTTATCCAGGTGAAAAAAAATAATCATAGTAGCTTAAGAACAGCATCTACTTAGAAGGAAAAAAACAGGTAAGAACCAGGACTTTTGTTCTTATCGTTGGTTGTCTCAAAGCAAAACAAAAAAATCCTTGTGTGAAAAGTAATGCAAAATGTTGTGTGGTATGTGGTCTTCCTTCTGCCCAGTGTTAGTGATTCTAGCTTTGGATTGCACAGTTGCAAGCACATTAGAAATACTGGAAGATTGGGTAAAACAGATGATAATATGTTAATATTCCTTTAAAGGTGTTTTAGGGCACAGAAAATGTTCCAGGTTGGTTAATAAGAATCACTCTCTCTGTCTTAAGAGTTGTGAAAGATCATAGAAGAGGTCAGGTCTGAATTGAGTAAGGAGGCAGAGATAGATGTACACAGTTAATGGATATAAATCTGGTCATCCTGAAAGCGTTGACTTGGCACTGCCTCACCTGTGATCAAGCGCTGCAGGTGTATAGCAGCCACAAAGCATGTACATGGCAGCCAAGTACAAAGACCACTGTTGGTTTTTTTCAGGACTTGTAAGAAGTAGAAACTTTTCTTGCTTTATATTCAAGTTCCTATCTGTTCTGTTTAATGTAATTACTGACAAATGTTAGAGCAAGTTGATGCAAGCTGAATGCCTGGTGGAGGTTAATAGCTTCATTGGAGCCTATATAAAGTACAGTATGCTGCCGTTTTGTAGTGCATTTTGTCAGAAGTTCATGAGTGCCTCAAAGGCTGAGTAGCTGCGTTATTGGTAAACGGTTACATTAACATTTTTCTGTAGGGCATCATGTGGGGATTTTTGCTGTATGCTGAAGCTGCATAATGTTTCTGGTGTAATATAGTACAAAGTTATTTGTTCTGTAATAAATCATGTGGACACCCAATCATTGGACTGACCTTGGGAGGTGCCTCTTTAGACATTGTCAGATTTTTGATCTGCTAGGTGTGGTTGAACTGTTATTAGAGGGGAAGAGGAATATTCATACCAGGTCCAACCTTCACCATCCCTGAGGTCTGCAGTAGACAATTGCTATTATTAATGTTGAGCATTTCAGTCTCAAAAGTTGCAAGTGTGTTTATGAAGTGCTTCTCTTGTAGTTGAAGAGTAGTCATTCAGGTGTTTCAGTACTCTGATATACTTTCAAGAGGTCACTGGAGACATCAAATACAAAAAATGTGAGAAACTTGCTTCTGTTTATCTAGTCAAGTCTCCTAGTAAATGAGAGTGTCAGTTTGAAACCAGCAGTGGATTCTGTCTTGGCAAGGACCTGTTTGCTGTCAAATTATATTGACTTTATGAACTTCTAAGAAGCATCATTTTTTAAGTGTGATACTGAGAAGCTTCATGGCTTCGTATACTTCCACCCTATGAGAAGAGTTTATTTTTTTAAGCTGCTTTGTTGGCTAGGTAACCTTGGTTTGTTTTTTGGCAAACATTCTGTAGTTTTTATGGCTCATCCACCAAAAAAATTCTCCAATGTCTGACAGAATAACCCAAATACTATTTGAAAGACTATTTCCTTCAAACCACTGTAGCTATTCAAATTGTAACAGATATATCTGATTTTGCCCACATGAGTACTTCAGCCTATCTGATGTTCCAAGACCGCTGATTAGTGAGCCTTAGTATATAAATGTAGTAAGTGTATTCAAGGACTTTGTGCACAATCACAGAGTTGCACGGTTAAGTCTTGTCAGAGAATGTTTAAATTAAATTAAAGAAAATGAATTTGGATCAAACCCCACTGAATTGGATCATGAAGGCACTTGTATGTGGACTTTCACGGTGAAATCTTAAATGAGTTTTTACCACTATCATTTTGAGTTCTTTGGACATCATAATATACCCCTTCCAAATTTCAGCATGTCTTGACTGGTTTTTGCACTGCAAATAGATAGAACCCGTGCTAAATTTTGAGAGTATGTCTGAATGCTGTTTCTACATCTGTTTTTTTCCAATGCTTCTTGGA